AATGTGAATGGGGGTAGGGTCAGAACTGAGCCACAAACATACATCTCATCAGATTTTAGGCATGGTAATGATTCATATTAAAATCCTAATACTCCTCTGCTGTCTTAGATATGGCCACAGTCCTCTACGGAGGTCTATCTCTCTTGGCTGGAATGCTGTTTTCATGTTGGGGTTATGCCACATTACCAGGACTAATCAGAGTTACTGATTAATCTGAATCGCCAGCAATGGGAGGGAGGGAGAGACTGGCCCAGCCTATTTGAGCCTTACCCCACAGTGGACTTGGTAGGATGTTTGGGACCTCTTGTCACCTGCCACTTTTGAACCTCTCCACTAGTTCATCATCTCCCCTTTGCCCGTGTGGTCTTGGCTCAATGAAGACTCGGGTAGGTGGCTCTGAGCATAAGGAAGGTCAGGCAGCTGCATTCCTACCGGCTGGATTTTACCTGTGGGATTTGAAAAGGATACGTCACACTAAATTTTGGAAAAAAGTATTTTCTTCAACACAGAATGCATTCTCACTCACTTAAAACACAGAGCTAGTAGATGAGAATCAAGAATTAAAACAATTATAAATAACCCAGAATAGCTGCACTGAACACAATCTGAATAAGGTGGAAAAACAAGCAAGCAACATGGCTCATTTGAAGTCTGCTTGATACTGAAAAGGTTTCTGTATGAAAGAACTGCAATTCCTTCAGGAATATAGGTGATGCAAAGATCTCTGTCATCCTTAAATAATACATATGAAATTAATGGGAGGGGGTTGGAAAGTTAGGTGTCACGTTGCTTAAAAAAAATCTCCCTGGAGTTATTCTAAAGCCTCTGGCAAGTCTGCTAAGTTACTGCAGTCATGCAGAAGACTGTTTGAATTGCACAAGTCCCTCCTCCTGAGTCACTCTAGGGGCCAGGGTGCTGCCTGGACTCCACAGCACCTCCACCTACAACCTCTGCTCCTCAGCACATACACTGTGCACTGGAGTTCCAAAGAACTCTACAAAGCTTATTCCATATTCCCTACATCAAAGGAATAATTTCGCTGCAGAACTGGGACTTTTATGACTCCTTTCTGCTACATTAAAGGGACTGGATTGAGGATCTTCACCATTTGTGCAAAAGACTTTCTTCTTCTGTGCTTACTTGGGGTTAAACAAACATCTTATTTTTATATGGCCCTCCAAACCAGCTTGAAAGCACCAGAAAATCAGCTGCATCAAGCTGTTCTGCTCCCAGCAGCAAACCAGAGGAAGACTTCAACATCTGTGATTTTTATGTAGAACAAGCATACCTACGACAATTGCTACAACTGCTGGTTGACAAGCAAAGAAATCTCACTTGCCTGTTCAAATTCAGTTCAGCAGTCCGAAAGGACTGGTAAGTGTGATCAACTGATGGTCACCCATATAAAAGCAGTTTGCAACTCTAACAGTTACACTAACTCCAATCTGTCTAGTAGAGAAACAGTTACACATTCTTGGGGGTGGGGATTGGCTTAAATATGTCTAATTTTGCAGTAGTTGCAAAGTGCTCTTTTGTTCTTTATGTCTTTATTGATGTCAGGCCATAACACAAACTGCACACAGCAGGTTTTGGGACCCTGACACCTTTCCTATAGCAGGGTTTAGAATGTCCAGAAAACACAGGATAGCTTATTCCTAAAATCAAGGGAATTAGTAAAGCTGTTAAGTGTGGTGGATTAGCCAAAACATAAAAAACAAAGAAAAATCTTGTATTCATTAATTCTTTCTGGTACTTGTCTGATATTTTCCCCATGACCTGTTGTAGCTATCTGCACTTTCTGGTTTGTGTTAAGCAGCAGAGACTCAGTTTAGTTGCCAACAGTTTTTACCAAAGGTTAGCAGGCTGGTAGCCACCGACTCCAGCTTAACACATTGACTAGTTTGTTTTATAGAGACATTTTCAACTCACGGATATTCTAGCAAAATTCTAGCTGGAACTTGCAAATTTCATACTTCTAATGACCACAAGAAGTGCACAGGTAAAACCATGAGGGATCATTTAAGCCTGTCTAGAAATGATTGCTGTTACACACTTGTCAGCGATTTGCCGCCAGAGTAGATGACTACTGAGTGTGTGTGCGTATGAGGAAGAAAAAACAACCAAAACACAACTGGCTCCCAATCTGTCCCTGCTGCTACTGTAAGACATCTTCTCATAGACTGCCAATGGTTCTTGCATCAGTGCTGCTGGTATTGATGGATGTATATTTGTCATTTGAACAGCAAAATTTTAAAGCTGAATTTACACTGCAAGTTTGCTGTGATCAGAAGAATTCCAAAGGCCCCCTCAGTCCAAATGGGATTCACAGCACTCTTCAAACGTTACATTTTATTAAGGAGATACAAGACACCTCTCCCTGTAAACTCAGGTGAAGGGCCATAGTCAGCTATTTTGGAAAGTTCATGGACTAAGAAGGAAAGAAGATGGGCAAAAGAACGTGTTCTTGTTTATATTGTAGTAACAAACTGCCACTAGTTCCTCCTACAGCTTGCTAAGGCATCACAGACCAGAAGCCCTGCAGTGACTGGTTGGGGACAGCTGTCACTGTGTAAAGACCCTCCAGAGCATGAAGGAGGGGCTGTATTCTGCTCCCCTCCACCTCAGTTTTGAAAGGAGGGTGTAAATCCAAGGATCTTTCCCATTCCTGCTCTCTAACTGGCAACGTCCCCAGAGAGAAAATCCCACACAGCAAAGTTGAAAGCCTGCCTCTAAAACGCTGCTTGAGCTGAACTATGTGAGTTTGCTGTAGCTGTCCTGTCATTCTGAACAATTCAGAAAGAGACAACATCTAGTTCTCTCACACACATTCATTCGAGTAGTTTTCCTGTAACAGCTAAAAAGCTTGATTCTGTACTAGTTTGCATTGAGTCTACCTTTTAAAGTTAACAGTTTATGTAATAGTAGATTTTGGCCCTTTACTTGCCTAAGGCATTGAGCATCTTTCACCTTTGCACACTGTTGTCATGACAAATCATTCCTACTACAAGCTTCTCATCTCCCAGTTTCCATTCTCCTTCACCCTTTTTTATTAAGCGGTTGGAATAGTCCTGCACGAGAGTGGTTGCAAGCAGCAGTGCTGTAGTGATCCATCTAAACCTGGCCTGTTGCTCAACAGCAGCCCGAAAGGCCCCTTCCACTGTAATCCTGAAATATTCCTGAAGAGGGATTGCCAAGTGTGACACACTGTGTGGTGATGAACCTGTCCCTGCATTGCTGCAGGCACCCTCCTTGCCACCCTTTCAGTCGAGGGTCACTGGCAGGGGAACGTCACCTTGTCACTCAAGGCTGCCCTGGGGATGGGAAACCATCTTCCACTCAGGACCAGGCAATGCCATCAACCATGTTCATGAACAGCATGGCCTAAACCCATATCCAGGGAGCAAATTCACAGCTAAAGTGGGGGAAGGCGTAAGTTACGTGATGAAAAATGGTTCTTAATGGGACCCTCCCACAAAGGGACCAGTAAAAGGTGTAAATTTCCCCAGCTTTGACTCCCCTCTAAATTTGACTCCAGGTCTGAGAGATTAAAACCAGAAGCACCTGCTGGGCATTTACACTTCACGCCACCTCCTCATGTCCTCCCACTTCTGAATGTCGGGCAGCTCAGCGTGCTCTGCTGTTTCCCCGGCAGCAAAATCCGTCTTCATCTGCTAGTTCTAGGACAAGCCCTTGTTCAGCATTCTTATCACTTTTCTGTCCCTGATTTGATTTTCTCTTTGCCCCCAAACTCAATTTTCCAGCAAATTATCCCAGCTGCTCGCGAAGCCTCCCCCGAGCGCAGGCGGCAGGCTGCGGTCCTTTGTGGCGCACGCCGCCCGTCGCATCTGCCCAGCCACCGCCGCTGCCGCCCGCCCCCTCCGTGAGGGCCTTCCGGCAAACCGCCGACGCGCCCCCCGACCGACGGCAATGCCGGAAGCCTCTCCCGCCCTCCCGAGGGTGAGAGCTGCGCCTGACACCGCCCCCGCCTCCCCTCGCACGGCGGGACGCGGCGAGACAAGATGGCGGCGGGCACGCACCGTCGCGCTTCGCCGTTGGCATTGTTGTTGTCGCGGCCCGCGCCGCCGCCCGGCAACAGCGACACCCAGCGGCGCCTCGGCGCGCCGCGGGCTCCTGCCGGCCGCGCTTTCCCCCGCCCCCGCTCCTCTTGCGCCTGTGACGTCAGAGATGCACCACCCTCACTCCTTGTTACCATATATGACGTCAGAGAAAGCAGGCTGCACGCCACGCGTGTGCCAGGTGCTGTTGGCCGGGACTTCCTCTCGCTTCTGCCACGGTTTATTTTGCCGGTGGTGCCGGTTGGGGCTGGCAGCAGACCCCCGGCTCCTGCCCTGTGCTGGGCGGAGGCCACAAACGCATGGCCCCTCACGGGCTCCCAGAACGTGCCCCTTTGGGCGCAAGGGAGCAGAAGGGGATCCATGCGGGAGTGTGGAGAGGCTGGACAGTGCTGATTTACCCGAGAGTCTGTGGGGATTGGCCCTGGGTGCAGCGGGAGAACAAGGGCAACAAGCGGGAATATCACCTTTTACTGGGTGCAGTTTTACATGGCCTGCCCCCTGGAGCAGTGGGCATTTAAGCAGTCCGTGACTCACTGTAATCATCTGTGAGAGTCAGATGCCTGGATCCCACCAAAGAGGAGCAACAGGGTCGATCCTGAGTCACTGAGCACTGCAGAGGGTCCCATCCACTTCAAGGGCCTGTATTCTGCTGCTTGGAAGTGCAGTAGGTGGGGAGCCACGACAATGTGACAATCAGATGATTCTATTCTGTGCTTTATACAGTTCTTTACATTCAGCTAACGATTTCAATATTCGCTGGTAGAGGTTGTGAAACCTGTGGCCTTTGATATCAAGATTATTTTCCTTTATCTGTTTAGGTATTTGTATATTTTGCCCAACATAAATATGTTTACAGTTGGACATTTCTAAGAATAAAACCACTTATGATCTCGACAAAATCACATTATTTGGTCATCCTTCCAATTAGCTGTTTATTTATTTAACAATTAAAAACCCCTCTGAAATTCTACTTGAAAAATAACAAAACCTTCTGTATTTAAATCAAACACTCTGAATACATAACAAGTTTCATATTCCAAATACACAGTTTTGCATAAATGCAATACCTGAAAGGGCCCTGAAGCAGTGTACACTACAGGTTTGCATTAAATGTGTGACGGACCCTGTTTGAGTAATATAAAATAAAATCATTGTCTTTCATGCATACCAAAGAGCAGTGCTGTAATACAAGTCAACAGAGTGGATCTGGTCAGGGATGACAACCAGTGAATGCTGATGCTGTGGGGAGGGTATGGAGAGAATGTATGGAAGCAAACGAAGGGATTTCCTATATAGCAGTTACAGAAAAACCCACACATCTGCAATTGCCAGGAAGCTCAAATTCCCCATGAAGTACAGGACCAGCTCTCACCTTTGTTCTTGGAGGAGATGGTTTTGAGAACAGAGTTTAACAGAGGAGTTTGCTTTGCTATGTCACCCTCCATTTTTACAAGTCTCCAGTGTCTAATAATGTATCTAGTCTTGATTTCAGTTTTCTGTAGGAAAAAATGTCCTCAGGTGACAGCTCCATGCATCACTGGTGTTGCTCTGGAACTTGGTTGTCATAAATACGGATCAGGCTCTGACTCTGGGTGCTTTTCAGTAAGCTCTGTATTAATCTGGCAACATTTCCTACCAAAGTATTAGGGTGGGAACTGTTCCATTGGCAAGATTATGTCTAAGTCTATACTTAACTGCAGACTACTTAAACTAAATAATGTTGCTGTCAGTTATAGTTATGTCAGCTGCATCACAACTAATTCAGTGCTTTTGACACATACACTCATCTGTAACATCTTCTCTTTGGACTAGCTCAGAGAAGAAAGAAAAATAGCATAGGGTATATAGCTTTTTTCCAAACTACATAGCTTCCAGACTACATAAACCGATGCCTACTTTGCTTTTGAGGAATTGTTGCTTTCTGGGCTTTTGCTTGATTTAATTTGATTTTGACATGTGATGAGTCTTAGATATTCCCCAATGTCACTTTTCATTTTCAGGCAGTGTCGGACATCTTCAGTCCTTCTCCAAGATTCATCCATGCCTAACTAGCCTTCCTATGTTCTTCTCAGTAATTTTATTCAATACAGTAGAAAACATCTTTCTATTACCTTTAAACAAAATCCCAGATAAATTTCTCCTTTATACTGGCAACAGGTGCTGGGAATATGCACCACCAGCCACCTTATACTAAAAGCCAGATATACGTTTCCACTGACTTTCATCTTAGGGTAAATGGAGAAATAAAAATATGTACCACTGAGCCTTTCCTTACTGGAGATATATGTAATAACTAACAAACTGGAAAAGGTGCAATTTGTCACTATGCTATGGAAAATACCTTGAGATTTTTCTTAAACCATTTTTGTCCTTTGCATCTTCAGTGATGATGTTTTCCTGAGGAAGCAGTAGAATTGACATACTTTTACCCAGTAATAGACTTTTATCCTCTTTCTTTGGCTTTTCCGTTACTGTGAATAATTTAGATTCCTGTACTAACTTGGTCTGTGCATCACTGTCCAACCTGAAGAAGCACATACTGCTTTTCTGTCTGGTAAACACTTTTATCGCCATCAGCTGCAATACTGTCTACTGTTCTGCTGAAGAGTTCACTTGAATGTTTAGATTTTGACTTCCCATACATGCCCTGCTGATAACTCCATGCACATTTCCCCCAAGCTGACACCTTCCTTGCTGCCTGCTGCATGTGTCAGAGGAATCAATCCTGTAAAATTGCCGTTGCGCAAGATGGGCTTTTTTTTCTTCATGACAAATTATAATTACTCACAAAAAAATTTAATTTCTGTACTGTTTCACTGAGATTTTTTGTGCCAATTCACAATCCCTAAGTCTTATCAATGACCCACCCAAATAGCTCTGTAGAAAATCTTCACAAACTTTTGCAACAAACTCTTTTGTCATTTCCCTCAGAAGGATACACAGTCTAAAAGGAAAAAATTTGCCCTCCCATCCAGTACCAGGTCCCATATTACATAGGCAGGACTCTGGCATATGTTTGCTTTTTGCAGCTCCTGGCGCCCTCCAACCAGCACCCTGAGTTGAGGAACTAAGGAGGACCCATGACACGGCACTAATGAATGAGCTTCCAGAACTGCAGCACAGGTTGATGGAGGGAGGTGTTGGAGGCCATCACTACACATGGTGAATCCATGGCTGATTTTTGTAACACTTTCTTCATATAATGTCTGTGTGAAAAACCGTAGCCCATATCTTGGCCAGTCAGTGGGCTGTGTAGTCTTCATAGGCTGTGTGGTTCATAATTAGCCGTCTTCACCTAGAGTTAAAGGAAAACTGTTAAGAGTATGGAAAACTTCAGAGCTGGAAATAAAACCAGCTTGTCTTCCTTTTACTTGCAGGTAGAAGAGCTTTCACTCTATTTCAGTGAATTTGCATGTGGGGGGAGCTGCTTATTGCTCCACTCCTTCAGGCTGAACACTTAATTCCCTTTTACTCCTGTAACCGTGGCTATTCAAGCCCAGAAAACAATGGTGTTTACACACCTTGGTTTCATTGGGAGCAAAGTACCCATCAATTGCTGTTAGAAGATCTGAGATGCGACACTGAATGGCATTTGCCACAGCCCCACTTTGTTCTGTGCCTGGTGCCCGCCGGCAGTGTGTAGCAGAGCATTGCAGGGACCCTTGCAGACTTGGGGAAGCTCAGCTCTGCGGCAGGCAGGGTGTCCGCAGCCTGGGTGCGATGCTTGCACACAGAGCACCCCTCAGCGCTCATCACCCCTCTGCACACCTCTTACAGCTCCTCCTCAGCTGAGAGCCTGCTTCAGCCTTGGTGTCGACACTAATAGTTAAACAGTGTCTAGCTCTAGGTAACTGGCATTAGCTTCTTAAAAACGACGGCGCTTGACTGTCTAGATGCTACTGTAACTTGATAATAATAGAAAACAATGATACATGTGAGCGTTTAAATTATAGGAATTATTTCAGAACAGTAGGACAGAAATGGTCCTCTTTTCAGACCTTCCAGTTTATTGAAACTGGTTGTCTTTTCTTGCTTTTCTTGGTACACAATAACTGCTATTTACATCTAATTTATTATAAGCACATGTTGAGTAATAGACCATAAAGCTTTTGGAGCTTCTATTTTCAGTTACATTGTACCGCTGCTGAATAAGAAATGCAATTGCTGAAATTTGTTTTCAATGGTATGTTGATTAAAAGCTGCTTGAGTTTAAAATTTCCAACCATCTAAAATGAAAACCCTTCACATGCTTCATATCCCCGGCCAGCCAGAGAGTTTATTTTCCTACAGTGTATAAATAATGGATTTTGCTGTTTATATGAATCCATCATCAAACTAGGTTGAATTCTCAATTGGCAGTGTGAATTGTCTTGCAGTGAAGCTAACTAGCTGGAACTAATTTTGAAATGGGTATAGTGCATAATTATGGTAACCTAGTGTACAGGGACTGATCCACCTGAATCAGTCATATCTGATGCAGAAAAACATGAATAAAAATGATACTGAAAACATAGCTGCCTGGTTATAAACTAAGTCCATTTTTGTTTAGTGATTTAAATCCCTTTACTTAGCAGAAAGCAAGTCTCAGAGTTGAATATATTTCACACTAGCTTTTTCAGTGAATGCTTTAAGCATAACCCTTGGCAAAAGTTTATGGATAATCTTGCCTCTGGAGAGGGGGAAAAGATGTCCACAGAAAAAAGAAAAACCATTCAAACAAACTTCATGGTTTTAAAATTTACTCTGCTTTTAAATTTGTTACGTTTCCAGTATCAGGGTGGTTCAGACACCATCTGCAGTCAGCCTGGTGGCTGCAGGGAATTCCTGAAAATAGGTGTATACCAAGCTGAGCAGCCCACAGGCAGGTGACCAGCAAGGTTGAAAGATGTAGCAGGAGTAATGAAAGTAGCAATGTCGATTCCCCAATATTGATGGGAAAGTTTTTGCTAGAAGGGAAATTGCCAACAGAAAGATTCAGCAAGGAAGAACTGAGCAGGTGAAGTGTTGGAAGGAAATTGGTGGAAGACGTGGAAGGAAGTATGAAGGGGGAGATAATTTAAGGGGGATTAAATACAGAGTGATTTGCCAGTTGTGCTGGAGTTTGAGGATATTTGAACTAGAGAGGGACTGGGGGAAGGGATAGAGCCTTTGAACAGGGAGAAATTTATGGATGTCTGAAAGCAGAGATAAAGATAAGGCCTTTCAGAGATGGCTGAAGATGAAAGACTCACAATTAATCTAACTTTGGGAGATGTATCTAGCTAAGGGAGCTGCAAGATTTAAAACTTTTGTTGCTGCTGCATGACACGTGTTATGGCATTGTGTCTCCTTGGATAACATCCTGTGGCTGGATGAAGGAGGATTCCAGTTACCTTCTAGCTCCATGCCTTGCCAGGCTTGTATCACTTCTCTAGTGTTATTAGCCAACCATGAGCATTCTGACATAACCACAGTAGTCAGGCTTTGCTATACAGTTATTTTTTTCATCTTGAAAAGAAGGAAGATGCACTTGCATCTAATATTTAGCTTGAATATAGCTCATCAAGAACACAACAGAGTCACTGAAAGGCTCTGTGGATATCAGACTGCTGATTTGTTACCTGCACACAGTGGTAAGACAGGTGCTGAGACTTTCACCACAACCCTCATGTAATAAAAATACTTCTCTAACAGCAGCAATTGTTTATTTCAGTTTGATGAATGCCAAGGTAGCAAACAGCACAGGGAGAAACACAAATAAGAATGTAGCATCTTTACAAATACAGTAATTTCTCCTATGCCCAGTTCATTTCCTCGGAGAAAAGGGAGGGAGTTGTAGACTGCACCCAGCTCAGCTAAGATGGGATGGATCAGAGAGGTCACTGAGTCCCAGACCTTTGCAATTGTGGGCACATATATTTCCTAAGGGATTTTTCAAGTCTGTGTTTAAAAGCCACAAGTAAAAGCTCCCCGTCTCTTCCACTGGGGAAATTATTCCACAGATTATCATAATTCATGTTCAGGAAGCATTTCTTGATACTCAGAAGATGGTTTTGTTTCTCAGTCACTCTGGGCTCTTTGCTGTTCCCACTGAAAAATGCCTTTCCTTCACTGGTGGTCTTCTTCAAATATTTCTAGGCTGTTATCATGTCCCCCATTAATCATTTCTTAGCCAAGCAATTTATATATTTAACTCTTCTAATCTCTCCTCATAAATCAATCCTCCTAGTATTTGGATCATGTTTGGTGTTCTTCTCTGAACTCTCTAATTTGTCAATATCCAGAAATGCATATAATATTCCAGATGGAGCTGTACCAGCACCTTACAGAAAGTGGCTATTTTTTCCTTTCTTAGTGATGTGATACTGTTTACTCCGTCCAATATTGTACTGGCCTTTTCACACCATATCATGTTGCCAATTCATGTCATTTAGCATGAGCTATCTCCCTTCGATCTCTTTCATCATTATTGCATCCCAGATTTCTCCTTCCTGTTATTCCTTCTCAGATGCTCTCTCAGCCTGCATTTTTTCAAAGCTGAGTCTCATTTAGCTGTTTTATTTCCATGGTTCTTTCTTCTCTAGGAAATTCTCTATTATTTTCTTTGTACACTGATCTTTCTGTCTTTTCTACTCGTATCTGTGAGTTTCATCAAAGTGCTGTGCACTCCCTTTTCCAGATCATTAATAAAGAAGTCCAACAAAGACTGTTCCTAGCAGTCACCCACATGGTAGCCAGGAGACACTTCCCACCACCTCGCTACATTGCAGTTTATTTCCTGTAATTTCATTACTTCAGCAACTTGAAAGCCACATGGAAATGACCAAACCAATGTGAATTACTTTTTCAGCTAAGATCCTGTGAGATACAACATCATACCTCTATTAAAGCTCAACTGCACTTGCAGTAGTTCCCTGTCCTTGCTAAAGGCTCTGTACCCAAGGCTCACTGAACTCAGAAGTGACTGTTAGGGACAGAAAGTGGATTTATGAGAGTGTCTGGCTGCAGTACCCTTGCTGTTGTTAAAGTTGGTAATGTTAACTTTTTCCTCTGCTCTAATTTTTCACTTATTTGGCTTATGCACAGTGAACACAAAGGAGTTTAGCTAATTCTTTTAAGTCCTGTAGGATGCAGGTTGTCCAGGTTTTTTTATTTGTTCATATTTCCCTAATGTGTTTCCTTATGTGTCCTTTATCAGTTGTTGCAGTTTCTTTCACAGGATCCTTGTCCCACCCTCCCTCAGTGCTCCAGGCATTTCTTCCTGGTTTTTCCCACTGAGGAAATACTTGAAAAGGAACTTGGTGTCAGAGCCATTTCTGAGTCTTTCGTTTATTCCTCTCATGTGTGAAAGGATCTGTTCTCACTACCATTTATTTTCTTCAAAGAATAGTTATAAAAGCCCTTGAAAGGGTCAAGGTCGACCTCCTTGAACTCTTTGGCTAACATAAAGTTTTGCAACATGTTTTTTTCAGTTGATTTGGGAGGGTTGGAGGCTTTGGGGAGGGGTGTCTTTTAGTTTGGGGATTGTTTTTTAGGTGTGTTTATATTTAACTTGCAATTCTGGATTGACTAAATAGTCAGAAGAGAATAGCTTCTTTTTAATATAGCTCCACCATCTGTAGAAGGAAAATGAAATCTTTGTTGTGAACAAACTTTTGCAGCATAACTTGATGCCAGTCTTACTGCCCTGAAGCACTGGAGAACTTACACTATCTGAAATAAGCATAACTGACCTGGATTTCTTATGATAGACCCCAGAAGTGGATTAGACTATATCTAGTTTTTCTTCATTTCATCATTTCCATGTATAATTATAGTTAGTGATCTCTAGAATAAGATGAAATTGAGTGATTTTACACTCTTTAAATTACACAACTAAAAAAATCATTAGAAATGTAACCTCGGATGACAGTAAGTTCTTCAAATAATTGATGAAAGAAGGAGCAGAACATGATAGCTATCAGAAATGAGTCTTGGCTCTCGACACAAAAAAGAAGGAAGAAACACAGTGAAAGACCAAATTATGTCTCATATTGCCTCCATGACACTTCTTTCAGTTTAAAAGATTTTGATAAGTGATAAGTAATCAGCATAAGTGTCTTGGGGAATAGACAGATATTATTATCTCTGTTACTAAAGATGGGGAAGCAAAGAGGTGGCAGTGAGGCAAATCGACCACGTGGCATGAACCAGGCCTATACTGAGGAACCATTAAAAAGAATCTCATTCTTACTCTGTTTAGCCAAGCTACTTTACCACTGCAATTAGGTATATTTAAAAAATAACAAGCACACAAAAGAACTAAGAAACATTGTC